TCCAAATCAAAAAAGTCATTGCCCAAGGGGCGGCGCTGCGCTGGACTCCGATGGGATCTGGACTCCGCAGGCGCTGTGCTCGGATGAGTCGGTGCGGTGCCAACGCCGTCCAGCACACTATCGTTGCGTTGAACAGTTGCTGAGTCTGTGCGGGGGTCAGGGATTTCTGTGGCGCCATCCGCGGGCGTCGTGTCGGTGCTGCTGAGTGAATCGGGGCCGCTGTTCGTGCCCACGGCAGTGTGAGCATGCGTGTCCCCTTCAGGGCCAGCGTCCTGTTTGTCGCTGGCGAGCGTGTTGGCAGCGGACGGCTGCCCGCGCTCAACGCTGGAGACAATGCAGGCACCATTCCACCGCTGCTGGGTTCCTCCTCTTTCACTTCCCCCGTACCACCTGAGGTGGATGGGCCAATGGCATCAGCAGAAGATGTTTGCATGGAAGCTGCTGGGCCATTTTTATTCCCTAATGGTTGCGCTGGTGAGCGTTGACTTTGCGATGATGATGATGTGGCGTCTTGCCGCTCTTCATTCATGACAACGGCCTCGTTGGCAGATTGAAGAAAGGTTTCACTCGCAGAACTGTTTTGAGGCGCACCTTTCGAGGCCGGCACCTTCGCCACTGGAGTGCCAACGGCGATCTTCTTCATTACCGCCTTGAGCTTGGCATTGCTCAATATGCGGCTGTACAGCAGGACGTTGCTCGCCGTCACATGAACGTCGTCCGAGTCCCCCGCGCGGTCCCCGCCAATGTAGGAGTGCGATGTGCTGTGGGAACTCAACACTGTTTTTAGCTCTTCAAAGAAGCCCTCATAGTCCTCATAATCTTTTTCGCTGTCGCATGCCAGCAATCCATCCACATACACAATCAAATCCTTGACATAATAATCCATTCCCAGTGCCACCTGATATTTTCTGCCCTGCACCCGGTTGGGATCCCCCAAAGAATTCTGAGTGTTGCCGTTGAATGTTACCTCCCACTTATTTTCATTCGTGTACGACAGACAAAAGAGCACCGTGTGGCCGGTGTCATGTAGCTTCACACCCGTCAAAGGGATAGAGCTGCTGCTGCCTGCTTTCGGCACCTCGTGGATGGGCACCGGAGCCATGAGGGTGAAATTCTTGTCCGCAAAGTGGTGCGGCCGATTCGGCCCCATTTTGCCAACAGGCCACTCCGCCCCTGCTCCGGGTCCTTTGAACGTCAATCCACCATCGGGAGTACTTGTCACTTCCCCGCGAACGGTCGCATTCACGCAGAGGTACTCGTCTCTCCACGTGCTGTCAGTTGACGTGCTGTCAGTTGACGTGCTGGATAAGAAGCCAACCAGCCCTTCGGTGAGGCCACCATCATCACAGTCACTGCGATTCTTATTATTCCTTTCGTTCCCGCAACCGTATTCCTTCGTCCTCCATGCGGCCACCAACTTCTTCATGTCCCCCAACTTCTCCGTCAAGTCCGCAAAAGCAATGTTGTACTCACCGTCCTCTGCAGCAGCGACCTCGTACGAGCAGTACAATCTCCTCGCTTCTATCGGATCCTTCCATACCTGCGGCTCAACGGAGTGCGGCAGAGTGCTGGCGGCGACCTTCTCACCAACAGTGGATGCCGGCCCAACTTCATAAATTCGCCGCAGGTCCGACAGCCACAAGTGAAGTCGACGCGTTTCTTCTTTACCGTCCGTCTCGGAATATACCGGCCGGCTGACGGGAATGACTTTCTGTCCATCGACCGTCGCGCTGACGAAGCCACCCTGCACGCCGTGCCCCGCACGTGTCAGTGAGTTGCCCCACACGCGTGAAGGAGTGTCGTATGCCTCCGTCCACCGACTCCCCCTTTTCGTCCGCCCTGTAAAACCCGCGGCTGCCGTCCTCACTCGACGTCATCATGACGAGATATCTGCCCTTCCCATGCAGAGCCGCATGCCGGATGCATCCCGCAGGTCTCGTATCCCTTTGAAAACT